TAAAAAAGGGGGGGGGATATTTGAAAATAGCAGATATCACATAAATCAAACTAAAAAAATTTTTTATCTGTAAAGTAGTTATATATATATATATAATTAGCATAAGATAGCTAGTTTTCATAATTTTAGTGGATGATACATTGGTTATAATACAGTGCTGGATTGGATTAGTTTGCAAAAAGTTAAAAACCAAACCAAGCCACACCACGAACACCCCTAGTGAAAGCAAACTGAAAAGGATATACTTTAATTGGATTACTGCCATATGTTCTTAAATCTTGACAACAATTATAAATATCGAAAGACTTAGAAGTTTCAAAAAGGATTAGAGCCAATTGAAATATAACATGACAAGAAAAACTACTACACTTCTCATAAAAAGCCCATAATCAAAGATTAAATCAGTTCCAATGTTTACAAGCTTAAGTTAGCAAGTGAAATAGCACCAAATCAGGTAATGAAAATAAATATATTATAAGAAGTAGGAAATGCAGCAAGGAGCCACAAACAAAGAAATCCTCCCAACACCTCATTAGAGTTGCAAAACTTAAAAAGAGCCAATTATGAGTCCTGGACTAGAAGGTAGAGTCCAATTGAAGCCTGAAAACCACCCATGCATACCAAATAGTCTAACAAATATATTTAATAAGAAATAGTCTAAAAACCAAACCAAACCAAACCACACCACAAACACCCGTAGTGAAAGCAAACTAGAAAGGATATACTTTAATTGGATTACTGCCATATGTTCACAAATGACAACAATTATAAATATCAAAAGACTTAAAGGTTTCAAAAAGGATTAGGGCTGATTGATTCATAACATTGACAAGAAAAACTACTACACTTCTAATAACAAGCCCAAGATTAAATCAGTTCCAATGCTTACAAACTTAAACTAGCAAGTGAAATAGCACCAATTCAGGTAATGAAAATAAACATATTATAAGAAAAAGGAAAATGCGGCAAAGAGCCATAAACAAAGAAATCCTCCCAACACCTCATTAGAGTGCAAAACTTAAAAAGAGCCAATTATGAGCCCTGGACTAGAATACAGAGTCCAATTCAAGCCTAAAAACCACCCATGTATACCCAATAGTCTAACTAATGTATAAAGTCTGCAAATTTCGAGCTTTTTTTAACTTACTATACACTAAAACCAATCAGATTCTCTTAAAAACCCACAAAAATTTAATTCACCAAATAAAATTCGGGCCAAAAAATTAATAACTTGAATGAAAATAGCTTACAAAGCCAGCTGCATCTTTAACGTATTGGGGCCCATTCGAAAAATAACAATCTTCCAACACTTTCCCGCATTGGTTACAACATCTTCAACCAAAAACAAAGTAAATCAGCGAAATCAGAAACAAAAAATAAAAATCTTATGTTGTTCAAAAACATCAAAAGATAAGCGAATTGTTGTATTACTCGTGAAGGCCACTCACAATGGACTGTCGTCGGGACGGTGTCCGGTCACATTTTTTGCGCAATTAGTGCAGAAAACCATTATTAGGAGATCGAGAGGAGAACTATGGATGAATGACAGAAAACGGAATCGAATTTGAGTGGAGGAATTAAGAAACTTTCCGGTTATCGGAACTGGAGATCAAAGCTTTTGAGAAAGAGTAGGGCTGGAGTTAAGAGTTTGGTGCAGTTTACTGCAGTTTAGCTATTTAGATTTTAGCGTATGTTTGGATAAAAATGAGTGAAGGAAAGAAAGGAGAGGGCAACTGGGCAGGGGAAAAGAAAGAGAGGACAAGTGAAGGGAAAGAGAAGGTTAATATTAATTTTCTTTATAAATAAAATTGAAAGGAAGGAAATAATAATATTTTTATTTAATTAAATAATTTAATAAAAAAATAAAGGAAGATAAAATTTTTAAAATTTATTAGTTAAATAAATAATTAAAATAAAATATTTATATATTTATTTTAAAATTTTTAAAATAAAAATAAGTTAAGTAATGTAATTTATTTTAATTTTAAAAGAATCAAAAATAAGGAAGAGGAGAGGATTTCATTCTCCTCCCTCTATTAAAATTATTTATTTAAATAAAAAAGATGCTTTTTCCTCCCCACTTGTCTCTCTTTCGCTTGTAATTTTCTCAATTCAAATAGGATGTTAAGTTGTGCGTAATTGAAAAAACTTTACAATAAAGTTTTTTTGTTATAAAAGTGATCAATATAAAAAAATTAATAAATAATTTTATTAGATTATTAAAGTTTTATATTTAATAAGAAATTAATATAAAAAATTAATTATAAAGTTATTAAATAAGAAGAAAGGTTTATAAATTAAAAATTAAAAATATTATTTTTATTTTTATTTTATTATAATATTATTGTATAAAAATATATAAACAATTTTTTTAAAAATTTATAAAATTTTTCCCAACTTAAAACCCCCTTAGGGTTTTAGGGAACGAGAGAAGATAGCGTTTGGGATTTGGGTACTTATATCATGAGAGCTCAGTCGGTTAGTGCGTGTTTGGCAGAGGCCGTGGATTTGCGAAATCCTTCCTTCTAACCTAAAGCAAATAGGACTTTGTTAAAAAACCATGTTATACTAAAACTCCACGTGATTTTCAACGGAGAATTTTGCAAAAAATTACATAATTTTAATAATTGAAATGTTATGGTTGTTTATAAAATTATTTAAATATTTTTAATAAATTAACTTATAAAAATTATTTATTACAAATATTTAAATAATTTGATAAGAAGTTTTAGTATTTTAAATCTTAAAACATCTCATTTTTACTCTCTTTTTTTCATTTAACATTCAGTGCTTTTAGCTTTGGTTTTTAATAATGTTAGAATTTTAAAATAAATTTAAATGTTTTTATAAATTAATTGAATTTAAAATTTTAAGTATTCATTTTAAAATTTTATATTTAACAATAGATTTGAGTTAAGAAAAATAGAAGATAAGAGAAGGTATAGAAAAAATTACTCTATTTAGTTATTAAAATAATTAGAGAGAGAGGAAGTTTTTTGTTTTATTATTATTTTTAAATTTATTTAGTTATCCAAATAAAAAGAAAGAAGGGAAAGGTGAATGGAAAAGATGAAATTTCCTTCCCTCCCTTCTCTTCCATTCCCCTTTATCTCCATTTGCATAAGTTTTATAATTTTTTGCTATATTTTCATTTTTTATTTTAATTTAAAAATTTATAATATTAATTATTGATTGTTAAATTATAATTACAATTATAATTATTAATTGATTGGTGAATAATAATAATTTTATAAAATTAAGTTTTCATATATTAGTAATTAATATAGTTATATTAATTATATATTAAAATATGTTTGATAAATTATCAGTTATTGATGTATTGTTATCTACGTGGGGATATCAATATTTTTTTTTCACAAAAATATTTAAAGCAATAATTCACATGCTAGGAGATTGGAGTTAGATGTATTTTCATTTAGACAATAGTAGATGTTTTATTGAGAAATTCAAGAAGCGTAAAGTTTTTTTTGGATTATGCATTTTTGCAATTCAACTTGAAATTTTGTAGTAAAAATCGCATTAAGTATTTATATAAGAAATGTATGAACCATAAATGACATCATAGTGAAGACTAAGGGAGATGCAAAGGAATTATTTAATTTTTTATAAGTTGCTAACACATCACTTTTATGATA